GAGATCTCTCTGCTTTTGTGTCCTGAGTGCTGGGATTAAATGTGCATGCCACAGCCAGCTTCTATGGCTAGCTAGTGGCTTGTCTCTATACTGGGATCTTCAGGCAAGCTTTATTTGTTAGATTACAAAGTATCACTCACTATGCCTCCTCTTTGTGGATCTTGCAGATGCCAATCAGGTCATGAAGCCTGGTAGCAAGAGCATCTCACTAGCCCAATGAAGACGGACGCTAAAAAGAAATCCCACACTAGCTCAGAAATGAGTGTAACAAAGGGTTATTTATTAGGGGTTGACTCACAGATCACAGTCCTCTACACAAACGGGGAACAGGAACTGAATCCAGCAGCTGGAAGAGAGAGGGAACATGTGCTTTCCATCAGCATTTATAGTGTAAGGGGGCACGCCCAAGTGGGCAGGTAACTTAAAGGCTTTCCTACAGCACTCAAGAACTGCATTTATTACCCTGCTCCCTAACCCTGCATCTCAATAAAGTTAGCATAATGATATTTTGAGTCTCCTGCAAACAGTGACAACACAGACTTTTTGCTCCTATTCCTCAAACCCAGAAACTTTAATTTTTAAGAGGATGAGATAAATATAGAACACTGGAGCAAAAATAACTGATTTGATTAATAAAATAATTTTTAATTATAATTTTATGAGTTTTAAGAAACCTAATTTTGCTTGATGGCCTGGAACTGGAGACTAGATACTTTGAGACCTAGGGTAGAACCAACCACAGCTGGCAAAAAAAAAAGGAAAAATGAAAAAGAAAATATATTGAAATGATTCTTAATGATATACTCCTTGATCAGTGCCTTGTCTAGTTATCGCCAGAGAAGTTCCTCCCATAGCAGATGGGAGCTGGTCCAGAGACCCACAGCCAGATAGTATACACCAAGATAGAATCTAAATTGCAGGTCTCCATTGGGTTCCTTCTTTCAGAGCACAGGGAATCCTGTGGAAGAGAGGAAAAGAAGGCTGTAGGAGTCAGAGGGGATGGACTATATCAGGAGGACATGGCCCCCTGAATCATCAACTAAGCAGGACAGAAAGGACTCACAGAGACTGAAGCAAAAAGTAAGGGCCTGCACCTATCCACATCAGCCCTTCTGATCTTCTGCCTGTGCTATTACTGTTAGCTTGGTGGGTTTTTTTTTCTCCTCTCAGTGGGTATGGGTATGTCTCGCATTCTTTTACCTGCTCTTCCGACACTTTTAGTCCAGTTGGTTTGCCTTGTCCAGCCTTACTTAGTATGAGGGCTTTTACCTTGTTTTACTATAGCTTGTTTTGTTGTATTTGGTGGTTGTTTCTTGGAGGCCTGCTCTTTTCTGAAGGGAAATATGGGGGGCGGGGGTCTGGGGAAGAGGAGAGGTGTGGGAACTGGGAAGAGTGGAGGGAGGGGAAGCTGTGGTTGGTATGTATTGTATGAGAGAAGAATCTATTTAAAAAAACAGAAATCTAATTATGAACTTACCTTATCATAAATTAATTTTTGTGTATGGAAGAGAATCAACCTATAAATTAGTTGAGCAAGTGTGCAGCAGCCAGCGCAGCCTGGATAGCCGAGACTGGTGGGGGGTGCCGGGATTGACACACGAAGGCTTCTTTTCAGGTGGAAGAAGAGCAAGCTTTAGTTTGCCCAGCAACCTTTTATACCTCTACTCCTTCTGTGGAGACCCACCAGGCAGAAAGAACACAAACATCCTTGTCAATTACAGACCACAAGGAAGTTCTGCTGTCGGTCAGGGGGAGTGAGGGCAGCTGGATCACAACACAAGTGCATCTAGTTTGTGTTCATTTCTGTAGCACTGAACGTCCGTATGCATACACAGTTAGATTCTGATTTATGCGCATCCTGCAGAAACCACCAGTCTGCTCTTTATCATTGTTATTGTGTGTTCAAAGTGTCATGCGTATTTCTAATTTGGTGACATAACAACAAAACATAAAAAGATGGTGTCATTTTTTATTGCAAATCAAAATGACGAAGAACAACACCACATACCTATTCAATGATGAAATGAGGTTTTAGAAAAAGATTCTGGTAATAGTTACATGACGCTTTGAATACACAGTAACACTGATGTGTTTTAAAATGGTTACAATGGTAAGTATCATACTAGCTGCATACAATAAAAAACAAAATACTGTCTAAATCTGTTTATATAACATTTGCAATATTATTATAATGATAAAAACAGATTAATGCAGTTCATTTTAAAGTTGGAATGTATTTTCATACTATTGACTTAGAAGGCTTTTGTATAGTTTGGATATAAAGTCTTTATGAGATTTGCATTTTACAATATTTTTTCCGAATCCCTATTTTTTGGCAAAGTTTAATTTTTAATTTGGGTTATAGCTATCAGTCTTCTTTCATACATTGTGACTTAGGTGATGTATCTAAGAATTAATAGCAAAAGCTAGGATGGAATAGATTTTAAACATGTTTTTACTTGGAATTTTTACTTTTTAAAGTTAGATCTATAATCAATTTTAAATAGTTAGCCTATATCGGGTTTCATATTCTTGAATATAACTGATCAGTTACTCTAGTATGGATGATTGAAAAGAATGACAATTCCTTTGTCAGTTGATTGTGCATGTATGATGTACTCCTGACTCTTTATTCTGGTCCTTTGATATGTGTCATTTATTATTTTGCCAATACTGGGAAGACTTGACTACTGAAATATTATAGTAAGTTTTCAAATGGAGTAAGATGAGTCTTAACTTTTTGCTTTTATCATATTTTTAATATTCTATATATTTTTATTTTTTAGTTAATACTTAGTACTATACAGTTTATATCAGTGCATTCTCTTACTGAAATTTGATTAGAATTGCCCTGCAGCTACAAGTCAAATTGGGAAGCCAAGCCTTAGCAATATTGAATCTTTTAATCCATTAATATGGAATGATCAATGATACAAGCAATCAAAAGAAACTATCTGGCATTTATTAGAACTCTCCACACAATGCTAGAGCCCATATTTGTTGACAGAGGTTTCTGTCCTGCCCAGTCCCACAGTCATTCAGTCCTAACAAAACACACAGAGGCTTATGCTAATTATAAACTGGTTGGCTTATTAGCTCAGGTTTATTACTAACTAACTCTTACAGCTTGAATTAACCCATAGTTTTTATCTATGGTTAGCCACATAGATTGGTACTTTTTCCCAGTGTAGCATTTTCATCTTGCTTCCTCTGCATCTGGGTAGTGACTGCAGACTGAACCTTTCCTATTTCCACAATTCTCCTAGTCTGGTCACCCTGCCTATACTTCCTGCCCGGCTACTGGCCAATCAGCATTTTATTAAACCAATACACATGACAAATCTTTACGGGGTACAAGGGCATTATCTCACAGCAAATATTTTTTTCAAGCATTTGTGGAGCCTTTACAAATATTTAGCTAAGTCAATCTAATAAAAATAAATACTGTGCACTGGATAGTTTATGAACGACAGAAGCTTATCTCTCACAGTCAGTCCTAGAGGTTAAAAAATTCAAAGTTGTGATGGGGTCAGAATCACCATCTGATTCATAGGTGGTGTCTTCTTTAGTAAATTGTTTGGGATTGGGAAGTGAAACAGGGAATGTCTGTTTGTGTGCTCTTGGTTTCTCTGGGGGATGATGAAAGTATCTTAAAATTCGACTGTGATGACATTGATTCTCTTCTGTGAGCACACTAAAAACCATTGAAATGGTCGAGTAAAGGAACACATTTTATTGTGTGTTGATTATATTTTAATAAAGACATTTAAGAAGAACATGAAATGTCATATGTTGAGAGAAAATTACTATTAAAAATGTTTGACAGGGACTAATACCTGAAAGAAAGAGATGATCTAAATCAAAGGAGTCAGATATAAAAAGGGACACATTAGAAGAGACACCAAGGAAATTCAGGTTAGTATAAAGTTATACTTTAAAAACTGTATTGCATTAAATTAGAAAGTCTAAGAGAAATGGAAACATTTCTAGATTCACCCAAACTACAAAGTTAAACCGAAAAGAGATCAACAATTTAAACAGATTCACAAAAGCAAGGAGATTGAGACAGAGATAAAAAGTCTTCTGGTTAAAGAAAGCTCAGGCCCAGAATGATTCACAGCAGAACTCCAGGGGACTTTCAAAGAACCAAGACTTCTTAAATTATTAAAAATAGAAGTACATGGAGTGCTTTTAAGTTCCCTCGATAAAGCCAGTATTACTCTAAGACTAAGACAAAGTAAGACCCTTCCCTTCCACAGAACCCTACAGGCCAATATCCCTCATTAACATAGATGCAAAAACAATTTATAAAATACTTGCAATCGAACTGCAGGCATATATGAAAAAGACAACTCACCATGGTCAAGTTGATTTTATTATACAAGGATGGTTCAACAGATGTAAGTCAACAAATATAAAAAATCATGTCAGCAGACATGCAGATGAAATTCTAATGATTATCACAATAGAAGCAGAAAATGCTGCTTTTGGCAAAATCCAGCATGCTTTCATAATAGAAAACCTAGAGAGAATAGGAATGGAGGGAACATGTACAATGTGATCAAGGGTACAGAAGACAAACCCATAATCAACATCATTCTAACAGAAAAAAAGCTCTGGGAAATCCAATTAAAATCAGGAGGAAGCCCACTATCACTATTCTCTTTTCATATAGGGCTTGAAGGAGCTATGCAAACTGCCAGTGGTACCTTCCCCTGATGAATAGTGAGACAAAGATGTTCCAACACATCTTCCATGGAGTAAAAGGGTTGCAATGTGGTGTTTATGAGATGATTTAAAGATTTAGGCTCAGGGATAAGGCTAAATTCAGAGTTCTCAACAACAATCTAAACACATTTATCAACACTAGGGAACATTCAGGGTTCAAGCCTCTGGAGAAAACTATGCCACAGTGCAGTTAGAGGACTGCATTTCTCCATCAGCCCAGCAGGAAGAGGAGAGCAGCCCAGGTGCCCCTTAGCTTGTCTTTCCGATATCATTTAATTCTTGGTTAAGAAGACTCTCTTGACTAGCCTTTTAAAGGCTTCCTTTACCTCTTTGTTCCTAAGTGTGTAGATTAGGGGGTTCAGCATGGGGGCAATAATTCCATAGAAGAGGGAAACCATCTTCCTGGGGTCCTTTGAGTGGGATGAAGGTGGTAGTAGGTACATGGAAACAGCAGTGCCATAAAACAGTGAGACCACTATTAGATGGGAGCCACAGGTCCCAAATGCTTTCTGTCGCCCCTCAGCAGACTGGATTTTCAAGATTGCTTGGGCAATAAAAGCATATGAGATAAGGATGAGTGTCAGAGGCACCAAATGGAAGATCACACTGACAAAGAATAGTTCGGCCTCATTTGCAGTGGTATCAACACAGGACAACTTGAGCAGTGCAGGCACTTCACAGAGAAAGTGGTCTATGACATAGTGGCCACATCGTGGCAGCTGGAAAGTCAGGATGGACAGCCACACTGCGTTTCCAAAGCCAATGATCCAGGATACAGATGCCAACTGGAGGCAGAGCCTCTGGTGCATGATGACCGAGTAGTGGAGAGGCCGGCAGATGGCTACAAACCTGTCGACGGACATGACTGGCAGCAGAACACACTCGGTAGTCCCCAAGGCCAGGAACATGAAAAGCTGGACCACACAGCCACCGTACTGATAACTTTCCTAATGCTGTGTAAATTTACCAGCATTTGTGGAACTGTGCATGTGATATAACAAAGATCTATGACTGATAGATTAGTTAAAAAGAAGTACATGGGAGTGTGGAGTTTAGGGTCCAAACGGGACACCAGAATGATGTTGAGATTTCCGATGATGGTTACTATGTAAGAAGTCAAGAAGACCACAAAGAGTGGAAACTCCAGCCATGGTTGATCTGAGAACCCTAAGAGAACAAACTCTTCTACGATGCTCTCGTTTGCCCAACTCATGATTAATGTTTTAACTTATGGTTTCCTGAAACATAAAAATTCAGGAAGTCAATTTACATATATTAACTATTCTATATTTAACATGTATTTATTAACTCTTATAGTTCTTTATAATCACATGTTTATTAACTGTTTCAATTACATATTCTTTACTACAAGTTTGAAGACATTTAAATAACTGGCATTGCATGTAGCATACAAAAATACAGTTGAGATTACAGTTGAACCAGTTACCTAGGCATTTCCAAAGTTTCCATATCCACACCCACGCATCTAAACTGAAAGCTATATTTTAAAAACCAATTCCCGACTTAGACAAGTTGTATAAGGTTTGTTCTTTGATTCTTTGACATTTGGTTTATTTTTTTTGTTTATAGTACTTCCTATATAGCTATTAGCTATATAGTACTTCCTATATAGCTATTAGCAGGAAGATTTAGACATAATCTCCATCACATTCTTAACTGTAAATGTCAAAACTGCTGAAGAACTTGAGTTATATTAGAGAGTTTTAGTAAAAACAAGACCCTGTCATAAAGGCAGACCTGCTGACCAATAGAATCGAGGGTCCACACTCCAGTAAAAATAGTTTTTTGACAAAGAAACCAGTGACAAACATTAAAGGATATATATATATATATATATATATATATATATATCCTTTATATATATGGATCCTATATATATATGGCATCTTTAAGCAAACTTGGTAGATATATGTAGAATGAAAATTGATCTTGATCTCTCACACTGCATAAAAATCAAGTCCATATGTACCATGACTTCAACATAAGACCTGATATATGGATAGAGGAGAAAGAGAATATGATTAAACTTATTGGAATGGGACAGGACTTTCTGAACAGAATCCTGATGCATAGACATTAAGATGAACACATAATAAATGTGACCTCATGAAACGAAAAATCTCTGTACATTCCAGTGAAGGGGTAGTTTACAGATTGAGAAGCTTTTTCTTAACCAGGTAGGTATACATCTGACAGGGGGGATGATATCTAAATATGCAAAGAACTAAAAAGAAAAAAAACTAAACAATAAGAAGATAAATAACTCAGTTTAAAAATGGGGCAATGAACTAAACAGAAAATAGGCAGTCAAGGGACAGAGGAAGGAAAGAAGAAGAAAAAGAAGGAAAATAGTGCCACTGGAAGGAGTTCTGAACAGAACACATGGATGGGTAAGGAGAAATGCCACAACTTTGGGGTTTTCTGAGGATCTCAGGGCTTTAAAGTGCCAGGAAACTCCTATAACTAACGTGATGCTATTATAAAGTCCCTCCAAGGACTGCTCAGGGCATTCTGCTGTTCTGTTCTATCAGTAATAATACTCACCCGTCCTTAGAAGTGTTCTTTTTTAGAAGAAAAGCTGTAGGTTCTCCATAAATATAATATCAAAGAGGTGCATAGCCTCAAATATTAGTCAGAAAGTGATTCATTACATGGACATAACTACTGGGTCAGTGGCCTTTCCAGACCATTCCTCGGTATGGCATTTATTTTCCAGAAGTCAGTCCCAAACAGACTCTGCAATAAGCTCTGGTAGATAAGAAGACAATACTTTCTCATACTTAATAGGTCAGTTAATTACAAAAGCAACGAGTGTCCTCCTGTCATTCTGAAATGACTGTGCGGTGGCATTTGACAGCATAGGGACTATCTCCCCCATGATCCACAGTAGTTAGAGCACTATGCAGGGACAGGTCGTTGCTGGGAAAACAGGGAGACATCAAAAGAGTGGGCTGAAGGCAATGCAGAGGGGAGATTGCAGTGCCTCTAAGTATTATATTGAACTTTTCTCACTTCAGAGCCAAGTTTTGCCATTTTGCAAACACTCCATGATATTGATTAAATTCATTATAAAAAGGAAATTGTTTGAATAAAACTAAAGTATCCTTTTGAACTAAGAAAGTTTAAGCACCTTGCATTGTTAGTATTGTCAGTGTGTGGAAATGGGAAGACTTGTTAACAACTGAAACACACCCAGAACCTCCTGCTTCTGAAATTCTAGCACAGAAGTCAGGTGCTATCATCCATCTGATAGCTCCTGCAAGGGAGTCCCCTGTCTGAGCTGAGAGGCGAAAGGACACACAACCAGCCTCTCTGCTCCTGAGCCGAGTTCTGTTGGTAGCATCTGCAGAGACACCCTTTCTCAGCACTCAGGGCTGGAAAACTTTTCAGATATTAGACTGAACTTCCCCCTTTCCAGCTGGAGTGTAAGGATAAATGACAAGAGCAATTTTTCATCCAACATCCTAATTTAGGTTTAAAAACTATCAAAGCTGGCTGCTTTTTCTCTGTTTTGAAAGACCAAGTTGAGGGCAAATCTAAATTTAATGTTCACAGACACTACTTCATAAGCTGTGGGTAACAAAAGGTTAGGACACAAGGCTGCTGTGCTCCTGAGTTTGTTTCCCAGCAGAGAAGAAGTAAGTGCTCCCAGATTCCAACTATAAGAAAAACAAACAAAATGAAGAAACTAAGACTGAGCCAAATGTTTCTAAATGTTTTTGGTGATTTATAGGATAAATGGTCCCCAAATTTCAGTTTGTCTATTTCCAGTTGTTTTATACAATGTTTTAAGAAAGTGTTCTACATACCCCACTTGGAACCTTAGGGACAGGATGGTTTGTGTCTTTGCGCTAGCTCAAGGAACTTTGAATTCCAAATGGACTCATTATAAGTATGCAGACCCAATAATGTCTTCATAAGCTCTTCAACATCAGTCTGATGGGATGAACTGCTCCACTCTTTGGTAGCAAGTTATAAGTTCTTCACTCAGGAGTAACTCAGGAAATAAGGGAATAGTAAAGTCTTGTGGGTAACTGGGGCATGTATTTTCTGGCATTGCATCGCATTGTGGGCATTCACTGATCTTTTCAAAGTCCTCCCCATCAGGACTGCAGAGTAAATGGCTAGACAGAGATTCCTCAGTGCTGCTCTGCGCTCTGACTTGTTCAACAGGGTAGCAACTCTTGTTATAACCAAGGATGACGCCCAGTGGGGTTCTCTGGGAATCAGTGCTTCTCCTTTCACACACGTTTTCTCTGCAGTGCTGTTCCTCTGGGGACCTTCTCCTCAACTGTGTCCAAGACAAAAGGGATGACAATAGGGACTACAATACTTTGTGCATTAAGATGCAAATTTGTGCCATCAATGCAGCAAATTTTCCTTTTGTTAAAGGTGTCAAGAGAATTCTGTGAAGCTACAGAGAACTATGGATTTGCTGTGGAATTGGATCTGAGATCAATGTTTATACAGTGGATATCCATGGATTTCCTATAGACATGTTTTTATTACCTTAGTTCAGAGAAGGCTACTTTTGTTTCTTATGTAGCCAAATAATTCTTTTCTTTCTTAGGTTTTGCTTAGTTAAGCTATTTCTCTGTTCAATGAAGTTTCTTATATTTTTTTTACAAGCTTAATAAATTGAATTGCATTTTTGATAGTCTTCTCTAGTAGAGATTTATTTTATATGTTCTAATACATAGTCTCCTATCAATTTTTCAAACGAATAGGTACAAGAAAAATAAAGTATGTCTTAGTACTCCAGATTCTGTAAACAATATAGTAGTAAATGGCTGAAATTATTAATACAGGATTCAGATTGCAAATCTACCTGAGTAGGAATTAATTTTCTGAATAGTCAAGGAAATATAATAAAGATAAGTCATCTACTATATAAGGGGAGGTAGTCAGCAGACCTCGTATTACCGGTACTGCTGACGGAGAAAAGAGTACTCACAAAATGTTGTTTCCTGGCCTTCCAAATGTGAAAAGAACAATCTTAAAGACATTACCCCAGCAATGGAAATCTAACTTGTAAAATGAATTACTTGTATGTAAAGATGGAATAAAGCAAGCATTTTGTTGAAGCCATGTTTATAATGACAAAATATGGGAGGCAGAAAATCTCTCTCAATAGGGAATGAACTAAATTATAATTACTAGTAGTCAGAAGTACTCAAGTGTGATATTGTTGAGTGAGTTATAGAAAAATAAATAGCATAGTGTTAATTATGAAATAGTCACCCAACTGATCTAAACATACTTTATGCTCCCTTTTTACAGAATTTTCTGGGTTGTCCTCTCATCACTGAGGAAAACTGATGCAGCCACAAAGAAAACATCAGCAAGTTATGTCTGTTTGAGTAAAACTCTACTTGCCTGAACAGGGGTGGAACATACAAAAGAGAAGGGCAGCTGTAGATCTCAGGAGATGTTTTATTATTTTATTTTTTTTAACCTTTTCTGCTCAAATAATCCACTCCTATTCTTTTTAATTGGTGGCTTTAAAATATGCTATTGCAATGTTATACACATTTTGTTTATTGCCTATATATGTGTGTGCGTGTACTTGCGTTGTCCTGCACATCCTGCTGTATATTTGTGGATCCCAGAGGACAACTAGTGAGAAGTGGTTCTCTCCTTCTACCTTGTAAATCCTGGGGATTGAACTGAGATCATCGGGTTTGATGGCAGGCACCTTTGCCTGCTGAGCCATGTTGGTAGACTGAACTGCCAATTTTAGAGCTTATGTCTTCCAATGTATATTCCCATCGACAGTAGTTTGAAATAGAAGCTCTTTGCTTTCTTTTTAGCATGAATGTCAACAATGTGTGAATGGGTCTAATGTCCCATAACTTGGTCTCATAATACTTGACTCTAATATCCTGTTGCCACACAGATGACCCCTTATGGCCATTGCTGAAATATCTCCTTAATACTTTCAAGTATCAGTGTATCGATATTCTTATTCTGCTACTGTGATATATGTAAAAGCTTACAATAGAATTTCATCTCCTTATTCCTATTTCATTGTAAGAAGAAAAACAATTAGAAAAGACCTCATAGAACTCCCATGATTTTATCAGCCCAAACATTAACATCTATTCTTAGACATGAGCCTTCATCTTACACCGTGAATGCTTGCCACTACTTAAAGCCAGTCATTTGAATTTCCTGGATCTTTGTTGTGTTTGC